CCCCCCCTCCATAATCCTATAAGAAAAATAGCTTTGTGTCGAATTGTGTGCATTTTGAGGTAGTGATATGACCCAACTTTAAGAAAGAGGACTGTAAAATGGCATCCCATTTATGTAATCCTGAAGATATTAATACATACTTTCTTAAACTTCCCGACATCAGTGAAGACCCCATTAGATTGTCAGTTTTAACTCGCTTTGAATTTGATAGATTTGGAATTAATACTTTCAAATTAAAGACAGTTGATGAAACAATGGTATTAAACGTAATAAAATCATTTAAAAGAAATGCACGGGGTGATGATGGCATTACTTTAAATATGTATTGCTTACTTTACCAAAAACTCTGCAACTAATAGGTAACGAATCTATTAGAACGAGCGTTTTTCCCGAAAAATGGAAAGTAGCCTCTGTGAAACCGATTCCAAAGAAACCAAACTCAAGTAACTTTGGGGAGCTTCGTCCAATTAGTATTCTACCATTCATGTCCAAGATCTTAGAAAGAATTGTCTGTACACAGATGACAAAATACCTAGAAGAAAATAAAATCCTACCTGAAAAACAATCCGGCTTCAGGAGGTCTCGTAGTACTACTACGGCATTGATCGATGTCATGGACGAAGTTTTAACAGCACGGGACAGTTAGCAAGGTGCTTTATTGGTCTTGCTTGATTTTTCCCGTGCATTTGATACGATAAACATCACGCTTCTACTCTCTAAATTAGCCTACTATGGTTTCGACATTTCCACTATAAAGTGGTTTACAAGTTACCTTTCCAATCGTCTGCAGTACGTTAAAATATCTGGTGATAACGGCTCTGACATAGTATCGTCAACAATGCCTGTTGCTAACAACAGGTGTACCACAGGGTTCTATTTTAGGGCCACTACTTTTTATATTATACGTATCAGATATCGTTACTTCAATCATGTTTAGTAAGTATCACTTATACGCTGACGACCTTCAATTATTTATATCGTTTAAACCTTGCGATACAGAGTTGGCAATTAGTAAAATTCAAGCTGATTTGAAATGTATTTCAAAATGGCGCAGTAACAACAGTTTGGTAATTAACCCTTCTAAATCAAAGTACATGTTGCTCGGAACACGTAAACAAATTGACAACATCCTAGCTTGGAATCCATTTCAATTTTTTTTTTCAAATACAAATTTCTGTTGACAGTTGTCCCATTGATCGCGTATCGGAAGCTCGGAACCTGGGATTGATTATGGATGACAGATTGCCCTTTGAGGAACATGCTATAGAGACAATGCGTAACTGTTTCTATAGACTTAAAGTCTTATACAAAATTCGCGAGTACTTGACTGTGGATATGCGCATTAAGTTGTGTGAAACTCTCATATTGTCAAAGTTGTCGTATGGTGACGCAGTTTTTGATGAATGCTTAATGTCAAGAACTAAAAAACTGTTACAACGAATACAAAACGCTTGCGCACGTTTCTGTTTTCTAATACCACCTCGATCTCATGTCACTCCATTCCTAAACCGACGCGACTTGATGAACTTGTCCACCAAACGGAAGCTTTAGTGCTAGAGTGGTTAAAACTGGGGAACCTTCTTACTTATACGACAAGCTCAATTTCTCACAGCGTTGGCTTTAGAGCAGCACCGCGACTTAATTACACACCGTATAACACTGCTGCTTTCCGTGGTAGTTTTCGTTTTTCCGCTAATAAGTGCTGGAATGATCCCCCCCCCCCCCCCGATAAGAAACTCGAAAACCATAAATTCATTCAAATTAAAATTTAAAATGTTTTTGCTCTCCTTACAAAAGTCTAGCACTTAGTTGTCATTAATCATTTTCATCCCTGTCTCCACATCCCTATCTCACACGCCCCACGCACACACACAACGCACATGTACCTTTTGTTTATATTACGATTTTTATAACCTTGTTGTGTTCGTTTTTTGTTTTTACTATCATCATTTCATATTTTAAGATCTGTTACTTGGTTTTTAAGATATTTGTGTAAGCTGACTGTATCGCCATCTACCTTCTTATATATAGGTCCCACTGAAAATCAGCTTTCATGAAGTTTCTTCGTGTTAAACTTCGTGAATGTAACGCTGAGTGGAAACCTTTTTGGTGCACTAATAGCATAAAATATTTTTTTTCTCTTTGTAACTAAATTACTGTGTTTATGTCTTTTATGTGTTTTTTACGTTTGTGTACCAAATAAAAAAAATAAAAAAAGAAAGAAATAATTGGAATAATGTTCTAAAGTAAAGTAAAGTTACAGCCTATATACGTCCCACTGCTGGGCACAGGCCTCCTCCGCTCATTTCTGAGAGGGTTTTTGTTTTTATGTTTTATGTTTTTTTTTTGTTTTTATGTTCTAATTACACAAAAACCCTAATAGTAGTTCCGGGAAGTCTGCAGTTTGTGATCATATCCTAGACGGCCCCAACCATTACATCAGATTTGATAGACCACAAATCCTCGCGAAAGAACACCGATTCCTACCAAGGATGATATGTGAGGCTATTGAAATTAAAAAAAAAAACATCCTAATTTCAATAGAGAAGGAGGCGGGTACTACCACCTGCTTGGGACCCTATAATCAATAAAATTAAAACTAAACCCAAGCATACCACTGCAAGACCTCAGGACATAGTTCATTTTGCATAGATCTGACCATAAACAATAATTAAAAATCTGAAGGTACTCCGGGTTTACCAATGACATCGGGACGTCAGTCACCTCAGTCCCGTACAGTACCGTGACCATGGGTGCCGGAAAGCACCCGAAACGTAGGGAATTAAAAATAAAAATAATTAAAATTAAAAATAAACGCGAAAAAAATCCGTAAAGATTAATACAAAGTTTAGATTGACTCACAGATGTGGGGTTAATATATTTTTGTATATCATAAGGGTGACACAAGCCAACAGAAACGAGTCGCAAAAAAAAAAAAGGGGACACCAACCCATAAAGAGGGAGGACGGAAATATAGTCCACCTGACGGTAAATGGACGTTGTGGCCCATAAACATCATCTATTATTATCATCGAGTAAGAATCAATATGCAGATGTTTTGTCATCTCTGAGGGCTAAGGTGGAATGTTTAGTTTCTGGGGTTTAAAAAGGGTCTCCGGTTCTATACGCTTATCACACGAAACACAACAACATTGAGTTTCTATTTTATGCTGGTATGTGAGAGTGTAGTCCAACCGCGGTCGAGCCGACCCATTCATGCTACAACCATAACATAGCTACAGTGTGGCTCTGTTACGTATAAGAGATGGAATGACCTGTTTCCAGTAAAAAGTGTCTACACGAAACACAGCAGCATTAGGCTGCTATTTTCCACTGGTATAATATATAGTCTAGGTTGAGTCACAGAAGTGGGGCTGATACAAAGTGGTGGTTGCCCCACAGATGTGGGGTTGCTGGTGCAGTTCGCGCAGCTGGAGCGCGCGCACGGCAGCGGCGAGCGCGCCGAGGCGCTGTTCGAGCAGCTGCTGGCCGTGTACCCGCAGCGCGTCGACGTCTGCGCCGTGTACATAGACATACTGGTCAAGAGTGGCGACGTGGAGAAAGTCAGGTGCGTGTACCAATGTTTCCTTTATCAGTCAAAACTGTATTTCATTCATTACAGCCCTCCGCAAGTCCAATGCTGAACGTAGGCCTCCCCGATGAATGCCACAAACCACAGTCCTGAGCCACCTGCATCCATCGACTTACTACTCTAGTGGGTGTCCGCCCTGCATTTCGCCTGCCGGTACGAAACTGCCACTCGAGAAATTTTCTTTCCCATCGGTGGTTTTTGTGTGGCTAATGTAATAACCGAAACTGTTCACTTTGCATTATTATATTCTGTTACAAAATGGTTACAAAATATCATCTTAAAAAAATTCTTAAAAAACTGTATAATCTATAACTAAAGATTCGGGTAGCAACAGTGTTGTCGCTTTAATACAGTCGGTTACACCTAATGCACAATATCCAAACAGGTTTTTGGTTGGTCGAGTTACATGATCGACCCTTTGACACTTCAGCTTAGTAATATGTTGGGCTATTTAGGTTACTCTGGTTCAATTGCGGATATCCTCATTATTAAGTCTATCATAATGAGAAATCCCGTGCATAGCTCGTTAGCAACCTTGAGCTGTAAAAAGCTATCCTTTTTCAATACTTTACACGCTTTACTGTTGCTTAAAAGCTGTAAAATAGTATTCGACTGTTAACTTTATTTGTTTTCAGGCAAGTTATGGAGCGAATGACGTCACAGAAACTACCAGCGCGTAAAATGAAAGTGCTTTATAAAAAGTGGATAGAGGTAGAAGAGAAAATGGGAGATCAAGAACACGTTGACAACATTCGAAAACGTGCTATGGAGTACATAGATAAGGCTAAATTTTAAAAAATAAAACAATTCTTATTAAAGTGTTTTTATTGAACATCGAATTAATAGAAAAAATTACGCCGCATAAAAAATATAAAAATAATAATAATGAATTAATACTTATCGATGGCATTTATCAAAACGAACAAAAAAACATGAGTATGAAGAATATTCTGTAACTGATATAAAATAGGTAAATGAAGTATCTAAACACATTTAACAACCAGGTAATGCCTTTAGGGATGGCATTCATGACAGTAAGTTTTTTTTTGTCCTTATTATAGGGATTTACCATTACCGTTACAGTCCACTATAGGCCTCCCCCATAGATTGCCTCATAGGGGACTTTTTTATTTTTAGTCATTTACTGATCGAGACAAGGTGCAGGTGTTGATTGAGGTGTGGGTGCATTTAGGAATGTACATGTCCCGTGGTTGCACTACGGTATATTAGCGCTGTTTATCATGCTATATTTAAAGCACAGACCCGTCGTCTACTTGTTGATCGAAGTTAAACCACAATGTTATAATTACATTTTGTTAGTATTTGTTTGCTTGGTTACTTTTATTATTGTTTGTTTCTTATATACTATTGTTTTTTCTTATTAATTAAATTACGAAAGTTCGTTACCTTAAAGTAAATATTTAAACATAAAAGTTTTATTAGACTTTAAAGAGTTATCTTTCTTAATAATATCACATTTTGGCATCGGTGGGGGTGGGGGTGGGGGTGGAGGTGATTGATGAAGCGTCATATCATCAGTATCGATATTCGCTTTTGATATTGCACCGTCATTTTGATTATCCATATTTGACGATACAAAGATTGGTGTATAGTTTCCATATATTGATATTGGTGGGCAAATGACATAACCTAATTTAGAGTAGAAGTCCTCTTGGCCTTTCGTGGATAAATGTACCATTTCCAAACGTAACATTTTCTTACAGTATTCCTCGACTTTGTTCATGAGAAATGTACCTAGCTTCTTTCCGCGCATTGTTTTAGTTATCACAACAGTTTCTATAAAACAACTTTTTGGCATGCTCGGAATACGAGTTAACTTGCAATGCCCTAATAACATGTTTCTATTATTAACAAGTACTAAGCTCGTCGGTAAAAAATCGCATGATGCCTGTAGTGACATCATCCTTGCAGTTTCGCTGCGAGGCCATTCTTCGTTGATCATTTCACAGCACTGTTTTAAATATTCCGGGTGTTTGTGTAAAGGTAGCACCTTAAGAAGGGTAAAATCCATTATGGAATCCTGAAATAAAATTGCAGATATTAATTAGTATTAGAATTCTGTGTTTATCTGCAGCTTTAATAGGTAATGTGGTTCAACGTCAATATAGCAGTTTTGACGTTGGACAAAGGTTTTTATGGGAACATAACGAGCAACGGACATTTGCTCTTGTCATATTAAATGATTTGAAGTAGTATTCACGCAAAAGTAAAATGTATAAGCATGTGGTAGATCATTAGTGGAAACCGTTGCAATAGGAGCACAGATTTAAAGAGCAAGTCATTGGTATCGTTATCGCACCTTGCAATGCCATCATTATCAAATGACCGCTGCATAGAGCAACAAGGGCGACTGGCGGACCGGAGGAGCGTCCATATCGTTTTCCCCGATACAGAACCTTCTGTCATTTTTTGCGAGGGGAAATTTACGCGCACAAAAAGATTGTCTGTGATGTATAGTCTTTCGTAACTCACATTTCTTTATAGGATAGGGTGACAAACGAGCACACAGTCCACCTGATGGTAAGTGGTTGCAGTGGTCCATAGACATCTACATCAATCCTAACCTTACGAATCAGAATGCAGATGCGTTGTCACCTCCTCACGGGTCCTCGAATCGAACGATTAATCTACGGTCCCTTCAACATTCGAAGAGATGTTGAAGGGACCGTAGATTAATCGTTCGATTAGAGAGAGTGGTTGCTGTGGCCCATAGACATCTACATCTATCCTCGATCAAATCGAATCAAAATGCAAATACGTTGTCATCCGTGAGGACTTAGGTGGAATGCCTTGTTTCCAGCAAAAAGGGTCTCCGGTTCTCTACACTCACCATACGAAACACAGCAGCATTAAGCTACTATTTTACGCTGGTGTTCTGTGAGAGCGTGGTCCTTCCCCGGTCGAGCCGACCCATTTGTGCTACAACTATACTACTAATATAACTGTAACATGGCTCTACCACGTATAAAAAATAAAACAAAAAACTAACAATACCACACATATATATTGCATCGCTCACATTGTATCGCTCGGTGCATATTGTATGAGGGCGAGCGGCTTGTAATGAGACAACACGATATATGATTGTAATATTTAGGTTTAAAAAGAAATATACGGCAAAAATTCAAAAATAACTTATATAAAGCCATTTTTTCGTAAATTTCCTTTTGCAGCAAAAAAACAACAATATTTTTAAAACTTAAGTCAACATATTATGAATTTTAATAAATAAATGAGGCTGTATGTGCGTAGATCTTTGTCTTTAATTAAAAACACATGAACGTCAGTTGTTCGGTGCTGTCATTGTCATCCGTCACTTAGGGTACGTTCCGAAATACAACACAGTACACTGTTAAATGCTAATGACGTCATCAACTGACACTATATTGTACTGGCGTGCCGCCGCCATATTGTGTCGGATATCCGGCTATAATAAAACAATTTTTAATTGTGTGTTTGCCGAATGAAGCATGCCAGAATTCGTTTCTATTTATTCAAATACAAAAAATTATAGAATAATTGATGGTATATCCATTAGGAGGATATAATGATTTTTGGAGCACAAAATGACAAAATAATCGCCAACACTTTTCCAAATGGCGCAAAAGTATACGTCATATACTGTCCAATGTTTTGGAACGAATCACCAGTATAGCGTCGATTCATGACGTCATTTGCATTGGACAGTACACTGCGTTGTATTTCGGAACATACCCTAATGTCAAGCTCAGTAAAACTTCATTTATGTATTTCATAACTTCTATTATTTGCATTTAACTTCAATAATTATGAATAAAAATGTTACTGTAATCATTTAGACACTTACCAAACAAAGAACTTAACGCCTTACTATTGTATCAGTGTCCAAATTAGGTAAGTACATTTTTAAACCTACAAATTAGAACCACAAGCCTTCTCCTATGATAGTACAGCCAAACTAACCTATTTTTAGCTGTCATGTTAATGTTGCGCGTTTGGTTCCATATTTCTGTTGGTTTGGGACATTCTTAAAGATGGTTATAAATTGAGAAATAATATTTTTGAATAAACGTTAACATGATTGTATGCCGAAAATATCCGAATTAATCGTATAAAAAATGAACCGCAATAACTTTCAATACTTTACCTCAGACCAACTAAGAAAGATAGAATACCACATGCTCACTTTCATGAAACCATTCCCAACTTCTTGACACACACCCAAGCACACATCTTGCTTTTTTCAGCCTGTATAGTTCATGCTAAATTTAAAAAAAAAAGTGACGTTCAATAACTATTTTTTATAATCTATATTAAATAAAAAAAATCTGTTTCTGTTCACTGCTGGATATACATATGTACCTATAATCATGTTGGTTACAAATTATTTTAAATGAATATACTTATATTAATATAAGTAGTTCATGGTTGGCTTGATCACAGTGTCACTTGAAATGTGTACAGCACTCCGCCTTATTTATTTGTTGTTGGTTTAAATTTAACAGTCATTTTTTTACTGTTGCAGAATGTTTTTTGAATTTCATAATTTCTAATTGATGACCCTTTCAGGACATAACTACAAAGCAATGGAAGAGGATGAAGACGTCCCAACTCTCTCTGCTGAAACCTTTGCAGCTCTGCAAGAATTTTATGCAGAACAACAGAAAAGACAAGAAATTCTTAGTAAATTGGAAGCTGATAATAAATTAAATGAAAACATAATATTTGAGGAAAATTGGGTACATAAATTGGACTCTAAATACCCTAACTTAATTCTCTATTTCTAGAAGTCCCTAGCAGTCCCTAATACCTTAGCCCAGGGATGGCAAACCAATGGCATGCGTCACAATATTTTGGCCACTCCACAGATCTCAAAGTCCACTATGAAGTATTATATTATGAACAAATGTGAGTGATCCTGGTTGTATGGTAGGCTACTATTGCTAATGATGCATAGTTTGTTTCATCATCATCCCTCAAGGAATGCATAGTTCGTTTACGCATAGCATTAATAGTCAATTTCGTTGACACAACTGTATTTAAAAGTTCATTTGTGTTATACTTAGGATTTTACAACCGCAATATATTTGTCATCTAATCTACAACAACAGAATTCACACTAATGTGACTATAATTTGAATTGCGCGTATAACTGAAACATTTATTATTATAAGTACATTGAAAAATGTATTTTGGTAATAATAAATATCTCAACTCAAAGCTCTTTATTTATTTTTGGTAGTTAATAAAGAGTTTTGAGTCGATAGTATTTAGTACTATTACTTTCACAATATTCACTATGTCAACATTTTTTTACGGCACGTCTATTACCTATCTAATTAGACATAATTTTAGAAAAATTGCATGTTGATACATAAAGTAAAGGTTCGCCACCCCTGCCCTAGCCCATATGGTAGGGCTAAATATACAATTATACATTAATTAGATAAGTACAGGATGTCTGCATCATGAGACCTAGATAACCCAGAGAACCAGAGACAGGATATCAGGGTTAGGTGATGGGGTTCTCTCACTGGCAGTAAAGCAGACTCACAAGACTGATCAGGGGTTCTGACGGCTTAAGGTGTCTTTGCCTTGGAGGGAGGTCTTACCAAGTCTCCGCGGTAGTAATGAAAACATTGTCCAGTGTTGAAAGAGCGTTTTATTAGCAAATCATTACAATTTATATGATTGCATTGAGGTTAATATTTACGTCGTTTCTAAGATTATTCTGTAAAACTATAGGTGTATGTGATTTTTGGTAATGCAGTCACAGTGTCGCTGCGCTGCTTTGTTCTGAGCTGAATAATTATTATTAATAAAGCAATAAAACATATATAAGTGCAGCCATGGCAACTCAGGTGCTAAAGCAGTTGCTATAAAGTTTATAGTAAATGAGCAAATTATCAGCAACATGAAATTATTTTGATCTCATTTACCACATGAATGGTGAAAAGGCTCAAGTCTGTAGAAAAAATATTTTGGGCTGTGGAATCCATGAACACTTTTGGCAGCATTGTAGAACTCATTAAAAACAACTATATGATAGATCTCCTGTAATCAATACACTGTTTTCTTTTGTAGTTAAGCATGTAGCTAAATTAGGATATTGTCACCTCTGAGGAATGAGGTAAAATACCTCTTAGTTAATCTTTGCATCCAGTCACTCACTATGAAACACAGCAATATTTCAGCAGCTATTATACAAGTATAAAATGGAAATGCCATGATGGAGCATGCTGTTTAATACTGGAAAACATAGTTCCTAGCAAAGGACATTTAATTTTTTAATTATTTGTTTATATTGTTTGCATAATCTGTGTTTTACATATAAGTTGTACAACACAATAATCTTATTGTTAGTCGTTTATTATTATTAAATAGGTTTTTTTTTTTTCATATTATTAAATTTTTATTTCCTATATTTACTTATAATTGCACTGTGCATATGCAGAGTACAGTTAATATATAATAAGCATGTTAAAATAAATTTCTATAATTTCAGCAATTAAGTCAGTTCTGGTATGATGAGGAGACTGTACAAACTCTTGTCAGAGGTGTAGACAAAATATTATCTGATGGTGGTAAAGTTGCACTCATATCATGTCCAACACTCTTTGTTCCAATAAAAAGACAGATTGGAGAAAGAGCTAAAGGTTGGTATAACTTTTACATGTTAATATGTAAAAATGTAATCAACTTTGTATTGGCATAGTACAGTTGAGTATATGGTAGCTTTAGTAAGTTTGAAAAAATTACATTTGTAAAATGAAA